GGTTTGTGAAGTTCGTGGGTGTGCTGGTCAGCATGCAGAGCCCTGTACCACGGTGTTGGCTGCTTCTCTGTAGTGGTTCCAGGGGTTGCCTGTTCCTCACCCAGGCCCTGATGGCTTGGTGCTTGCTGTTGCTGGTTGGGCTTGCTGGTTTTTGGGATGGAGCTGGGGCAACTCTGCTGGATGGTAACCCACTGTGCAAACCAGAGAGAGGCTCAGTGGAGATTTGCCCTTCTCAAGGAAGGGAGTTCAGGGGAGTGCTGAGTCCTTTCTCACCCTGAAAATCACAAGTGGACGTACTGATGGCACCATCACCAGTGCTGGGGCCAAGCCCTCTGGATCTGCTCCCTCCAGTCACTAGGAGGAGCTGAAGATTGCGTGTTGCAGCAGCCCGGGCACTCCCATGCCTCCAAATGGGACTGCACAAGCTCTGGAGGACAGACTGCAGGGAGCCACGCTGGACTGCCCATCTGGGACCGGGTGGGAAGGGAAAGAAGACAAAATGTCCTTTTCATCTCAGGCTCCCAGTGGGAGAAAAGCCAGCCCTATGGTGGGTTTCCCAAGGAGAGATTTGCAGGTCCTTGTTGGCAGTGGGGCTGGGAGTGCACACGGGAAAGGCTCTGTGGGCTGCAGGAGGGGCAGTGGGTGAGATAAGGACAGGACTTGTTTTGGAGGGAGACTTTGCAGAGCTAAGGGCATCGAAGCTGTGGGGTCAGAAATGTGACCAGATCTTCCAGTACCTCAGCTCCCCAAGCTCTGGTTGCTTCTCCTCTCAATCATGTCCCTGGGGTCTCTTCTGTCACCAGTCAGCCAGCGAGTCCCTGGGGAATGTTGTCATTTCCAACACTGTTCTCTTGGATAATTCCCAGAAAACTTTGTTCTGAGCTTAAAAACACAGTGCCCAGAGCAGCACAGCTGCCTGCGCGCTCTGGTCAGAGAGACTTTTTCACTTCTTAACTAACCATCAAGGATCCACAGTGATCACATTGGTGTGTGAACAGATAAACCACTGAAAACAGGAGTGGAAAAGGAAAGATGAGTTGGAGGGGGTTGTTATTACCATGATACGATGGAGTAGGAAATCAGGCTGTGCAGTGATGGGACAGGACTGTCTTCCAGCTCCCGCCCTGTCTGGAGAACACAGATCCAGTCTGATGCCACCCCGGCCATAAAATGTCCAAAGGTCATGTCTGAGAGGTGTCCTGGATTTGTTTGCTTATGATAGGACAAGAGGGAAGGAGAAGAGGAATTTGTACTGTAGAGGTGGGAACAGCCTTGTCTTGGTTTTATATTGGTTTTGGTTTTGTCTTTAAAACTTTGGGTCTTATTTAAACTCCAAAAGCAGCTCAGCCTTGACCTAAGCAGTATGATGTAAGTCGGTGCAGGGATGAGGCCACAGAGGGAGGAGGAACATGGAGCTCAGCTGGCCTGTTTCTTCAGTGGACATCTTACCCTAGAGCAGCATATGCTCAGCTCTCTTGTAGCCACTTGTGTTGAGTTCCATTTGGGCACCAGGTGCAGCTGGGCTCCCCTGCAGCCTCTGCTCACCTGTGTCTCCCTGTTTCTCTTGCCCCCAGGTGTCAGCAGTGCCAACTGTGCTGGCTATGAAGAATGGAGACGTTGTGGATAAGTTTGTGGGGATAAAGGATGAGGATCAGCTGGAGGCCTTCCTCAAGAAACTCATTGGAGCCTGAAGTAAAAGGATGGCTGTACCTCTGCCTCTGGACACATCCACATTGTGCATTCCTTGCCTGGGAGAGCTGAGGGCAGGTCATCTGCCTGCCTTGTACAACCTGGGGGTTTCTTCTGGTTTCGGGTTTTTAGGAGATGGACAGTGTTGTAACCCTTCCCTCCCTCTCCCCCTTCTCATGAGCAGCAGTAGTTGTAAAGGGCACTGAGGAGTGGGGCTGCTTATTCTCGAAATGGGGAATGCAGCTGGAATTAGGAGCCTGTGTTTATCAGCAGGAGCTGATGTGCAGAGCTGCTGCTGCTGCTGCTGAGTTAAGAGGAGGAATGTTTTTCTCTTTGCCTCACATCTGATAGCCCAGAGCAGAGGGCAGCTACTCCCTGGAAGATGATGGTACATACCTGCCCTGGGTGGGTTCGTTTAAAGCTGAGAATGTCTCTGCCTTGTCTGTGAAGCTTGTCTCTTTGGTCCTCTGTCCTTGTGTTGCTGGGACCGGTACAACTCCTCCACAAATCCATGGGGTCCCATCATGATTTTATAAGATAAAATAGGGAGTAGTATTTTATGGATCTCCTTTTGTATGTCTGCAATAGAGAACTTTATTGGTCACTGCTGTCTAGCTGGAGAATAAAACCTGATTCTCAGATATCACGGGGAAGTCCGTTGTCTGTCCAGAGAGGTGAGAGTGTCAGCAACAGAGTGGCTGGTTCCTAACAGTGGGTTGGGAGAGTGCAGGTTATGACTTGATCCCTACTAAAAGGTAATGTGCCAAAAAACAAAGTAGGGAATTACTTTCATGGGGCTTTCTGTGCTGCTGCTAGGACCCCCTTTGTGTGCTGCCAGATCCGGGGCACCAGAGGGAGGACTTGCCTCTTGTGCACAGAGGTATAGCAGCACGCAAGGAACCTGAGCTGTGCTCTCTCCCCCCTGTGATTTTGTCACTCCTTTCCTGCCTGTGGAGCCTGAGAGCCTCCCTCTCCCTTTGTGAATGATTAAATCTGCTCACACAGGTGAGTCCTGCCCAAAGGCAGGTTTGTAACTTCATTTGCCTTGACCTTTAGACTGAGGGTGCCAGTTGTGTACTGCCATCGAAAGCAGCCTTCAGCCCTTCCCACCTCTTCCTCCTCCTCCTTCTCCTCATGTACAGCTGTTTCCACTCAAACTGGCTTCTGAGTGTTCCCAGCCTCCTCCTGTGCTTGTGGGCAGAGTACAGCACCAGCACTGGTGCCTACTGTAATGCTTAATTCTCGTTTGCTTATCTAAACTGCATGAGAACATTGTAAGTGCTTAATAACCATGTACAAGCTGGGGTTTTTTGTTTGGTTTTTTTTTTCTCCACAGCTTTTTTTTCCTTCCGTCACTCTTAAATCTGCTTTGACTCTGCTCCATTTTACCTCCCTGGCATACAAGCGGCGAGGCAATTTTGTCTGCACCTTTGCAATAAAAATTTAAGACTTTTGAAGGAGCAGGGGAGTGGTGATCCAAGTCCTGCTGCAACTGCAGAGCTGCTTGCATCACTGGTCCCACCTGCTTCGACCACACTTGGGGCCTGGGCACCAGCACAAGGTGGTGCTGGTCCCCTGAGATGTGTGCCTCCCCATCCAGGCTGGCTGATGTCACCCCTGGCATGCTGCTAGAGGTGATGTCACTTGGATGTAATTTGGTAAAGAACAAGGTCAGTTACAGTCAACAAAACCCAGCATTTCATTTTATTGCAGAGACCACAGAAGCTATGCTGTTCATGTCCTCCTCGTGTCTCAGGCCAGGTTTCCCCTGCAGTTTCGGTGTTACTGCTCAGTAAACAATTCTAGTAAAGACAGTCTCCACTTTCCTGAAAGAGCAGGAAAAGTAGGGGAACAGCGTCACATACCCAACAATAGTCAACTTTCTTGCCTCACCATCCTACAGAACAGGAAAAAACATGGTGACTTTGCATTGTGTAATTACAGGGCAGTATAAATTAGTTATTTTATCGCTTCCTTCTGAGGAAAAGTGCAGCTAAAGTGTCGTTTAGCTATTAAAGTGCCAGCCATGCTGTAGGGTGCATTATGTGAAAGCCACAACTGTTTCTTTGAGATAAATGCCCTGTGGGAATCCTTCAGAAACAGCATACCAGGTGGACAGGAGGAGGAGGGGGTTGGGGACAGCTCAAGATTCCCCAAGCACTTTGCAAGGTTTTTACCACAGGACAGGACTCGGAGCACAAGGATGTTCTCTCTGCCAGGATCTTAATTCAGCTCCCCATTTGCCAACTGCTGGGGGAGGCTGCAGGGATTCCCACTGTGGTGTTAATAACAGAGGAGGTGCAAGTGGGAAGCACTACCAGCAGTGTATTTGTGTAGTGGTTAAAAGAGAGGTTGCACAGCAATTTTCATGCCACCTGAATGTGATGTTGGTCTTTCCTGACTGAAGAGAGCAGAAGCAATGGGTAATCCCTCAGCAGTAGCTGTTTTTTCCATGTCAGCTGGGAAAATGTTTCCTCCCCGCTCACTCCAGCAAGGATGCAGTTTGTTTTCCCTTTTGGAGTTATGCATGTTGAATGCTTTTCTGAGTGTTTGCTCTCTCCTGCCCAAGCCTGTCTATATTACAGTAGTTTTCTCAGCTCCTAATGTTCTTCATTGCTATTTGAAGAGGGCATGATAGTCAGTGCCTTCCTAAGGGGAGCAAAGCTCAGCTAAACCCGCTTCTCCCCCACGAATGTTTTGAACCCAGTGCCAAGATTCCTGCAAAGGTCAGGCTCAGTGCCTCTGTCCTTGCACTCTTGTCCAAGGCACCTGATTCCAGGCAAGCAGAGGTTTCCCATTCATTTCTGTTGGCTTTATGCTTGCATCAAGCCCTAACACAGCTGCTCCTTT